AGAAGCAGACGTGTGTCCGTAATCCCACCAGCCTTTTTTTTTTTCAATTACTCACCAACACCAAGACACTTCCCAAATCACATAGTATAATCAAAAAAAGACCAGAAATAAACAAAAAAAAAAGAAAGAAGAATTAAGAATACCCATTTGGAAATTTGGGTTTTGGAAATAGAAGTTCTCTGGAGGGGAGGTTTCTGATATGGATTTTTTGTTACGATTGGGGTTTGGGAGAGGTTTAGAGGAGGAACAATGGCAGGTTTTTTCTCACTAGGAGGGAGTAGCCAAGAAGAGCAACAAAACAACCCACCAACGGAAATCCCACCGGAGAGTTGGCAGTATTGGTACAAAAATGACGAAATTACATACAAGGGATTTGAAGCATCGCAGCAGCAGCAGCAGCAGGAAGTCATTCAGCGCACTGCAGAACAACAGCAAGATCTTTATTCATCAGCAGCTGGACTAGGAGTGGGGCCCAGCTGGAGCTCAATAAACATGTCGGATGATTCCTCGTCGAGATCGGGTTTTATGATGATGAGGAGCGGAGGAGGAGCAGGAGCAGGAGGAGGAGGAGGAGGAGGCATGAGCTGCCAGGACTGCGGCAACCAAGCTAAGAAAGATTGTCTCCACATGCGTTGCCGGAGTTGCTGCAAAAGCCGAGGGTTAGACTGCCCCACCCATATTAAAAGCACTTGGGTTCCTGCAGCCAAGCGGCGCGAGAGACAACAGCAACTCGCTGCTTTGCAGCAGCAACAACAGCAGCCCAAAAGACAGCGAGAGAATCCCACCACATCTTTTCTTGCCTGCACTCACTTACCCTCGTCAGGTACACTACAGTTTCAGTTTGTATTCCTTTCAGTGTCATACACCATGTTAAAACTCAGTCTCGGATTTACTACTTTAAAAGAATTTGCATATAATTTTTCCAAAAAAAAATTTAAAGAAAATAAATATTTATTCCATGGAATGAAATCCACCTACATGATAGACTCCAACAGCTTTTCCTTTTAGAAACACTGTTATCTAGTAATCCTGACTAGTGTTTTGACAGGGATGATTGTTTGCAATTTTTATTTTTTGAAATACCAAAATAAAATATTGTATATGTTATCTTTTTTAAATAATTAATTTTTGTTGTGATTTATCTAATCTGATTTAATGGATTTGGGTTTTGTTTTCATGGTTAGAAGTTGGGAATTTTCCAGCAGAAGTGAGTTCTTCGGCCGTGTTTCGGGGCGTAAGGGTGAGCGGCATTGATGATGCTGACGACATGTACGCGTATCAGACGGCGGTGAACATAGGAGGGCATGTATTCAAGGGAATACTCTACGATCATGGTCCGGATGGGAGTTACAGCATGGGTGGCGGTGAGAGTTCTTCTGGTGGAGTTCAGCCTCTGGACCTTATTACAGCTGGCCCCACCACCACAGACACCGTGACATTGGCAGCTGCGGCTCCTGGTGGCGGCGGCGTTACAGTTGCTTCCTCTTCACCAACCGTGGCGTTTCTAGACCCTTCTGCTCTATACGCAACCCCACTCAATACTTTCATGGCTGGTACGCAGTTCTTCCCCAACCCAAGACCTTGAAAAATGAGAAAAACACCACATTTTCTTCTTCTCTTTGTTTCCTTTGTCTATTTCAATTGATATTTGAGGTTCCTCTTCATTTGATACCCACCATTGAAGTGGTTGTCAAAAGGGAGATGCTTATTTTTGTTATGCAAATTTTAATATAATCTTCATCTTCCTCTTCTTCTTCTTCTTCTTCTTCTTCTGTAGTATGTTTTCTTTCTCTTATGCCTTTTTTTGTCCTCTTGGGTGTCTGAATTTTCATCAATTATGCTTTCTGGTCTGTTTTCAACTTGGTAACTGCTTTTTTCCTGGTTATCCGTACGATTTCCGGTTTGAAATGGGACGAATATGAGTTTCTTCCTGGGTTAGACAAACTATAACAGATTCATCTTTTACTTATCGCAGTATGGGCGGTCCAGCCATGCATGAGTATACAAGATTAAGAGGTGAAAGAATAATAACAAAAAATCATATTTCTTGCTATACAAGTTCATGTGATCACCATTTTTCTTAATTAGAAATTTAGAATAGACATGCATAGATGTGACTTTGCTCATAAAATGGGAAAGATTTCTTATCATCTGCTTCTTTCTTTAATGCACCAGCAACAAATTAATTATAACGAATTATTATCATGTCTAAAGGTCTCTATATATACATATATGTATATACAAAAGCATATGGGCACATGCATTAACTGTTTCTAATGTGGTGAGAACAATGAGACTATAAAACGAAGCAGAAAGATTATGAAGTTTTCTTACATCCTTCTGTTTGCAAATGATCTACTGTTTGGTCTGTTTTTCTTTATGAGAAAAGTTAGAAATGGTGTGTATATATATATATATATATATTTGGGGGACCAGGAGAGAGCCAGGTATTATTTTTGAAGACACAGTTTCTGTTCTTAAATATATATATATATATATATATGTATATATTGGGTAAAGAGTTTCTGTTCTTAAATGCATGTGTTGTCCATGAGATGTATGTTACAATTAATGCTTACACATAAATAATGCCAGCTATGTACCCTCTTCCTAACTGTTATTTTTGATTTCTGTAGCCTTGATATTTGGTTTCTTCACTTGACAACAATTTCGGTAAAAGATTAAATAGAAAGCAGAAGAATGCAACCCTTTTTTTGGGCAGCAGATGTTAACCTTTTACCTTTTCTGGTTAGTGTTTGTCTTATCTTAAGTAAAGATAGATTGTTATTTTTGGAAACTTCTTGTGATTTATAGGTATTGATGAAGGTTTAAACAGGCTTTATAAGCTATCATGTCTATCTAAAAAGGGAAATCCTCCATATCTTTAATTACTAAAAAAAAAAATAATAAGGATAAGGAATTAAGGAGTGATACAAAACAGAAGATTAATTAGCTTTAATGATGGAAAATGGACATAACTAAAACCAAGTATCTAATAGGAAATTGGAAAGCATATGATAATTTAGTATATATTTTCTAGAAGGGTAAGCATGATATAGCTGTAACTCATTGTGGCATAAACAAAAGGTAGGTTCATATATCATATAATTTCTTTAAGTTTTAGGATTTAAACTTGTATTTTTGATTAATTCATTAGCAAAAAGTGTATATATAGCTGTGAGAGATGCGTATGTCCTAGGAAGTCTTAGGTTCGTACCTCTCATCCCCAAATATCAAAACAGAAAGAGAGGGAAGTGCTTTGGCTAATATGACAAGTTTGCATGGAGACAATTATCTTAGTACCTGGTTGATGAATGATGATATAGTGTTCACGCATGTTGAAGTAATGATAACTTACCTTAAATAAGCCAAAATCAAGTGGCTTTTTTGAAGAAGTAGTTCTTTGATTTGGAAGTGGGAAACTTTAGTTTGAGCAAATTCTGTAGATATTGTAATGACTCAAGGAGAATTGAAGTCTGAAACATTAAATTTATTATGCCACAAAATCTACCTTAGCAAGTCACATAATTACTAGAATTAACATTTTGAAATGGAATTGGAAGCATTTAATATTATAGTGTCCAATCATGAATGAGAACTTTGGCCTTAATAATAAATGTCTGTCTCTAACTTTAGTTAACATCAATCCATAGCATATAAGATGTCTTTTATATTTATATGGAGACATGCTGGAAACAAAACTTATAATTTCATAGCAAATTTAGAGACCAATGACTTATAATTCTAAATGGACAAGAATCTTGGTGGGGTTTTTTTTTTTTAAATATATGGTTAGTGGTTACATTATCACTTAATTTATAATGCATCCCTGAACAATATATATAAAGTTAAAAAGTTCTTACATGTTGATCAGCTACTAATGTTACATGATCTAACATATATGTAAAATGCACATAACAAAAATTTGGCTAAAGATCATGAAGGGTTAATGGTCTTATATAGGTTGCATATGGTTTGATGGGATTATATGCACTGATCAATCTGCATATCTAGACCATGTTTTTTTTTTTCCTCTAAATGTGTCTACCATCTGTGCTTTTGATTCTTATGATTTATATCCGAAACATGTAATTAACTTCTGTTCACATGAATGCTTAAAACTACTTATATAGCTTGACAATCATTAAATTGCTTAGGGAGCTGCGGGAGTGTGATAATATGGCTGTAAAATTATTCTGATTTTTTAAGGTGCATGTAGGGTCATACTGAAGAGAGCATATATGTATATATATATAGGGGATTCCATGATTAGCAAAAACTTATACTATGGTATCTATGCAGAGTTCATATCATATGTTTGTTTTCATTAGCTAGGCTTAAGTGCATATATCCTTAGATGTATTTTTCGAAGTGGGGAACTAGATATGTTCTTTTGACTACCTTGCTTGATTTGGACTTCCAATTTGTTAGCATGGTAGTTTAAATCTATCGAAGAGGAACAAGAAGGTGCGGTAGCCCATTCTTGAAAGCTTAGAATTTTTTTCTTTCTTTTATATCGTGTCATGATGATTAATACATACCATGTATCATTGTTGCATTTCAGGTCAGTATGAGGTTAGATAAAGTACAGTTTCTTGAAATGTTCTTGACCGTATAGAATAGAATAGAGAAACTTTATTTATTAGTTAGATGTAGTAAGGAGAATTGGTAAACTTGAATGAGTGGTTAGATCTGGGAAACCAAAAGGTATTCCTAGAGAAGACATGACAAATCAAGCCCCAGGGAAAAAAAGTTAGAAAATTCTCACCTTCCCCAAGGCAAAAAGTATTGATATTCCCTTACCATACGTTTCATTGATTGTGAGCATGTGCCAATATTTCCTTGCTCAGAAACATTCTCTTTTCTTAGATTCTGATGTTCAGCTACACAAACAGAAATAAATATTTATTGCACCCTGGTCCGTTTTCCGTCCAAAACCCATTTTTCTTGGGACAACGCCTCCCAAACCCTACTTGATTAGAGTTGCTTCAAAAACCCCATATCAGTAACGAAAATTTTGTAAATGCATACATGCAACCAAAACTGTATGAAACTAAGGCAGTGTCCAAATTATTAAGTATCCGTACCTCTGTGTTCACGGCATTATCATGGCGGGCCTATATAGCTAGGAGCATGCGGGTTGGGTTCCATGGTAATCTTTGGTTGCAGATTTCTGAACATGACAAGGTCTCTCTCTCTTGCTCGGCTAATTTCAGTCATAGACACGAGAAACTGACAATTAAGAACAGTAGAACTGCATTATTTTGAAGTGTCTTGATGAAAAAAGTTATGTACTACCAGCAGGGGAGATAGGGAGAGATGATTAAGTATTTCAGAGATGTGGACGGAGCTCTAGGAATTAGATGCATTTTATGCACAGTATATTATGTTGTTAATTCTTTCCAAAATTTATGTGGCCCAAAACCACAACTCTGAAGAAAGTTCCTGTTTGGCTTGTGAGGAGGCATGAGAAGAGACAACCTGCTTTGATGATATGTCTTGTATCTACAATCTGGTAAACCCCAGTGTGGAAACTGGGAACTGGGAACTGTGCCTGTTCTGTTTTAAAATAAGATTGTATCTTTTTCGTACATTTGATGACTGGTTATATACTTAACCTTCTCCCGAACTTTATTAAGCAGCTCGATAGGCCGCACGTCTCATTGAAGGAGATGAGATATTCATTAGATTTGAGGATCGAATGTTTAATTGATAACAATTAATAAAACTAATCTACTAATCATTACTTTTGTAAAAAAACAAAAAAAAAACCCTTCTCCCATTTTTCGAATCTCTTCAGACTCGTCTCAAAGTGAATTATATCGTCTGGGGCAGCTCAGCTTTTCTCACCATAATCTGTTGGGTTCAATCACCTCGTTCTGCATTGGATGATATGGGAAAAGAACAAAGCAAGGAGGATGTTTGATTTCTGTTGTTCTCTCTATTGTACATTATAAAATATAGAACCTGTAAAAAACTAGCCAAAACAAATAAATAAACCCTGTAAAGTAAAGAAATCGAACCTTTAGGTCAATGGTTTGACCCAAGCGTTGAGTATTTAGGTAAAGTGGTTGTCAAAGTTTTGAATTTTACTATCATTGTGAACTCCACCAAAAAACGATCTAATAGTTGCACACCTCATTTGAGGAGGTGAAATGTTTACTCGATCTGAAAATCGAATTCTCAATTATTAATAACTAATTCATATTAATTTCTTAATCATTATTTTGTAAAAAAAAAAAAAAACCCTGTAAAGTAAAGGATCCAAAAAAGTACCAAAAAAACACTGTTGCCCCATTTCTGCAAACAGGTCTTTCAAACAAGTACCGCGCTGCCTGCTCCTGACATGCCCTCCTCAAACATCCTAGCGGGCCCTCAAAGTTCATAGCCCTTGTATTCTGGTCTATGTTGGATCTGAACAAATTTTAATGGATGTGCCTTTGCTCTGTCTTAATAATCTCAAACCCACCCAACATAAAAATTGGGATCTGCCTTCACTTTCTGCAGCTCAAACCCACCCAATCAAATTCCAATTGACAATTAGAATAATATAATTTCATATTAACACCTCCCCCATCATTTCTGACTACAATGATTTTCTTTTGGGAGACATCTTTTGTAAAAAAATCAACAGATACCTTTTGTTTTTTTGGATTATCAATGGATAAGGTTTATTACTATAGTTTTCTTCAAGCTTAGTAGTAATTTTATTTTTTTGTCAACATCAAAGAGATATTTTATTTAAATTGCGAAGGTGCATGTTCTTCAAGGATGAGTTTCAATCCCCCTCCAGTGCTTACTAAAAACAAAAAGTTTGTTGAGTTAGACTCTGCTTGCCCCAATATTACTAAACCAATGAAGTAGCCCATTAGAGTGATCTACTGGGCATCCATTGTGGATTTTTTCAAGACTGGCCCATTAATATCTGATTGAATTCTGGGCCGTATGATGGGACTGTCCGGCAATTGTAACCAAGCTCCACAGCATAA